TCAAAGAATACAGACACGATTGAAGAATGGAAAATCAATGCAATACATAATGCTTTATGCCAAAAAGAGGGGTTCACCCTATTCCTGAATCATAATATTTGGGAATAAATGTGTAATGTGGGATGGAATCCATTCTGACTTAATCAAATTGTTTAAACAAAGTAGAAACATATGCGATTATCTAATTCCCAAAATGGCCTACATGAGGTTTAGAATAGCGTTTAAAGTCTTAAATTATGTTAAAATGTTTTTTGATTTCAACTTAAATCAGGGAATTTGTTTTTATAATACACCAGTATGCTAAAGTCAAACACACGCTTCATCTCCTTTAAAACAACTCAAGGAAGTGCGCCTATATGTCACCTCACATTATTTATTATTTGCTTTATCAATGACCATCATAAATTTTATGGTTTGAGAGGCAATGGGGCCTGCTGTAAAGCTGTCAGAAAACAAGCCATTACAGTATGCGAGGGAATGCTGGCTTTCCATAAGCTATGATTCATATGGAGAAAATGGCACTATTTCTTAGTTTAGAAAAATGTAATGCCTCATGTATTCCATTCTGGACTAATACTGTGTGAAATGTTTGCTTTTTGCCTTTATCGCTAATACATAGTGCTAAAGCTTCATATTTTCATTACAACAGTTATGGCCTATAACAGAATGTAAATTGTGGCCTATCTTTTAACGATTTGATTAATGAATTAATAGATTTATATACTAACCGTTTTCTGTCATTAGGTGAAGGTGTTGGGAAGTCCGATTCATTTAGCGAATCATTCGTTCGTAAAATAGCTTTTGTAGAACATGTTGGACCAGTAATAAACCAGCTAATTGGCCACGCTGGTTTTTGTTCTGTGGTAGCTAGCAAACTATTCAGCTATGACCTGCTCAAAACTAAAAAGCTATCATGTTCCAAAACACAGCTACAAGTTTAACCTGAATAACAGGGACTAGTATTTCAAATATTCATACGACTACTAGTCATTAAAATCTTTAACAATTTCCAGCATTTTAACAATAGCTACATTAATTTTGTACAATCGCTTTGCGAATCATTTCGCTCGAAATCGAATCGGTTCAAATTAATGATTCGCGAATTGGATTTCACTGGTATGTAACACACGCTTCTGACGAATCATCCTCACATGGCGCTTGCAATAAGACAAATATCGAGCATTTGATAACACAAATGAAAAAGTATCTGCTTTGCATGAATATTTGAGGACACTGATCCATTCCCTTACAACATGCCATCGTGAAAAACTTGTGCAGAAAACACCACGCACAGCTTCATTAGTAGCTTTGACATGCATTCCAGTGAAATTACTGTATCACTGACTAAGATACCGCGTTTTAAAGGAATGCGAACTTTAAGCTGTCACCACTTTATTGTTTCCTTAACAAGCACAGTTGAGGTAATATTTAACACTCCCGCTCTATTCGACTCTCGGGAGCGTCAGCGCGCAACAGAGAAACCGAATTGCTCTGTAATATAACGGAATTCTGAACCAATACTCTCGCATTTCACTCTAAGATGGTCAGTAAGTGCTAAATAGTGCATATATGTTGTGCACAGTTTGTACAAGTTCGTTTTTAACTTTAGAGAGTTGTGCGTAAAAGCGCATTTGGAGAGTAAAGGTGCTGCGTTCTTTGCGTGTATGATTGATTTTAAAGTGGATTTATCTGATTGTTGTTCTTGACATATTTTAGGGGGTTGGAAAATGGGTTCTGGCAGCATTTGGGATCGTAGTGATCGTTGTGTTAATAGCTGTTCCAACAGCCATTTTACTCAACGGTAGGTGCTTGTTTATGGATAAATCCATGCGCATTTGTGTGGATACGTTTATTAATGCCTCTTGAAATCAATAGCTATTTCTGATTGATAGCTCTATGGATTCATGGTAAACTTGTAAATGTAAAAACTATTATTATATGTTTTATGGATTTATAAGTCTCACTTACTGAAGTAATATTATAGTTAGTAAGCTGTCACGGGTGATTGGCTGCAGGAGTGCTTACTTACATCAGTGTTTTAGACGCTGAACGGACAGCTCTGCACCTCTTAGCTGAGCCATTATCTTTCCCTCAATCTGAACTTTGCACGGGATAATGATTTTGCTTGTATAATGCACAATTTATTATATAACACATACACTGACAAAGTTTGTGTTTCAATAAATCAATTCTATCTATCTATCTATCTATCTATCTATCTATCTATCTATCTATCTATCTATCTATCTATCTATCTATCTATCTATCTATCTATCTATCTATCTATCTATCTATCTATCTATCTATCTATCTATCTATCTATCTATCTATCTATCTATCTATCTATCTATCTATGTATCTATCTATCTATCTATCTATCTATCTATCTATCAGTGGATAAAACTGAATCCCAGAGGACTTTTACTTTAGAAGATTACTTCAATGGAACTGCAAGAACCAAGTCATACAACATGCGATGGGTCTCAGGTACTATGAATAAAAAAAACCCTACAAATAAATATGTAAACCTAAATAGAAAGTATGCTGTAGCTGTACCATGGTACAATGATGGAATCAAATAGAAACACTATGGTACTTTGAAATATAACATGTAGCCTACCATGGTTTTTATATCGTTCTAGCATGGCATTTTTTTGGTGTTTTTAAGTGCATATCCATGTTCTGTGGTAGTTACTTATAGTACCCAGTCCAAAAACATGATAATACATGATATGTTCGTAAGTAAACTTTTGTAAGTGGATATTGGCATGTTTTATAATGAAATCAACCATTTGCTATACCTTTATATTTTTCATGCAGATGATGAATATCTTCACAAGACAGGAGAAGGTTCATTGCATCTGATCAACGCAACCACAGGAAATGGAAGGGAATTCGTGAATCAGCAGATATTTGTAAGAGTGTTTGCCACATATTCCCTTTTCTGAATAAGAAGTGGTGTGTTGAAATGTCACATACTGGACGTAAGTGAGTTTGATTAGTTTGGGGGGCCAATTCTCACTATTATTAACTAACTATTAACAATGACTTTGTCTCAATAAACTTTTAATTTGCTGCTTATTAATAGTTAGTAAGGTAGTTATGCAGAATAACACATTAATATGTGCCTTATAAGTGCTCATAAACAGCCAGTATGCTAGTGATAGGGATGTTAATAAGCAACTAGTTAATAGTGAGAATTGGTCCCTAAATTAAAGTGTTAACATGATTTCAATGATTTTTGCCACATGAGCGATTAAGCGAGTGAAAAGTCCCAGAAATTTACATCGAAAGATGTGGGGTTGGGTCTTTTTATAGTTGGCGAAGTAAGCAACCTCCTAGCAACTACCTAGAATACCCTAGCAACCACATAGCAATGTACTAAACCAGTTTCGCACAAGAAAGCACTCTTGTTTCTTCAGAAATTCTAAAATGGTCTATTCGAATCAAGGCATGTGCAATTCTCTGTTCTTAGATCTGTTTAAAAGTCTGATAAGAGCATCTGTTAAATGGCTTACATGTAAATGCACGTTTGTATCTATTCCTTGAACTTACAACGGTTGTCTTTCTTTGATGTTATCAGTCCCGTGTGGCAGCTTTTGATTACATGGTGTCAGCCGATCGAAAATACGTCTGTTTCCTGAGCAACTACACTAAGGTAATCCATGAAATGCTTTGATGTGGTAATTAATCATTTATCGTCTGCTATTGGTGTCCAGATGTTTAATGTTGACTTTCTTCTCCAGCTATGGAGACACTCCTACACTGCATCATATTCCATCTATGACCTGGAAAAAAGGTTTGTTTACTAGTGTTTTTACGCTCTATACATTTAGCTAGCTGTTTATGCTAACAAACTGCTATGCTATGTCATAACTGTGATTAATGATCACTCTGTAATCATTTAAGATGACTAATTTGCTCTTTATTTCAGGGATTTTATAAATACAGATATCCCACATGAAATCCAGTACCTAGCATGGTCGCCAACCGGCCACAAACTGGTGAGTATCATATCAGTAGTTGTTATGTCATGTACGTGTCATAAAACCTTATTGTCGTCATTTAACTAGTTTTTGCCATGTCATTATTTATTCTTTCTGTCTATGAGGTACTTGGTTTACTACATGTGTTAATATGTACTTTTAAACAGTTTTGAGGGTAGCTAACTACATAGGGTTAACTACATTGTAGTTAATCATTAAAACGGTGTAGCTTTAACAGTAAAAAAAAATGTTTTTCTCAACAAATAGCAGTAGTTTGACAAAAGCGTTACTACATTTTTTAGTAGTGTGACAGTGGCTAAGCTGTTTTTGAAAACAATGTAGCTTTTTTAGGTAATATGCTAATTTCTCCAACAAACTCGGGACACAGCTTCCTTTTTTAAATATCGGGATATATCAATACATACTGGGGTTTTCTAGTCTATAGTTAAGTATTATAAAAGATATATTACATACTGGAGGTAAAAGAAACTGTAGCTTTTCCAAAAAAGCAAATTTTTACAATAAGTAGCGCTGTATCATGACAAAATTGTTTAATCATATGGCTTTTCAATTTGTAACTAACTATAAGAAGCAATGCTACTAACTTGACTACATTTTTCAGTAGCATGACAATAGCTAAGCTATTTAAAAAAAAAAACAGTCCAACAACAAGCTAATTTTTCCAGCAAGTAGTGCTATAGCATGACAGAGATATTTGCGCACACAGCTTCTTTTTGTTAAATAACTTTAATTGAATAAACAGTTAAATACTGTTATTTATAAATACAGTATTTACTAGTGTTATTAGTTAAATGTTCAAAAGATATATTAAATGTTGAGGGCTGTAGCTTTTCCAGTATCAAGCTAATTTTCCCAGCAAGTAGTGTTGTAGTATGACAAAATGCTGGCTAAAATACGAGTTTATAATCCATAATATTGCTTTTTCTAGTGAAAAAGTCCATCCCTGGTTGTCCTCTCACATCAAAATCCATCAATATATTTGTTTAGAACTGTTTTGGACTGTTTTCACTTGTAAAAACTGTGCTTTATCTGTGCATGTTTCTCTCCTGTTTCAAACAAGATGAGTTTTTCACTAGAGAAAGCAATATTATGGATTATGGACTCATATTTTAGCTGGAAGCAACGTTTTTTGAAGTGAAAAAATGTCTTGATGGATTTGTTTCTTACAAAACATGCAGCTGGGTCATTCCGTGTCAAATCAAGCAAATTTCAAAAACTTCCCTGGCTCAAATTTTGGATTTTGCTGATATTTTTTTCTGAAGAAAGACGGACATTTAGTGATGAAAGCCAAAATATTAAATGTCATGGATGAATATTGACTGAGTAATCCACTTTTTTGTAGAGGGGGGTCAAAATGGCAATTTTCAGAAAGATGGCAGCATCATAATGTTATTTTTACACAGAGATTGGTAGGTCTGTTAGTAAAATCTGTTCACTTTAGCAATCTTTGTTGCATTATGTGTCAATGGTGACCATTCAAAAATGGAGAAACAGCGCATTTCAAGTTTTTCTCCAAAGTTTGCATGCCTGTAACTCAAGATGTATTAAAGATATGCTAATGCCCTTTTAGATATTGGGTCTTAACAAACTTTCCTTTTGGACTCTTCATTTTTAAGGCCCTATATGGTTCAGTTCCAGAAATATTGGAATTTCAATATGGCTCCAAGAGTAAATTGTTAAAATGTACATATTTTCAGTGGTCAAAAACCAAATGTGGGTCAGTTTGCAAAAATATGATACTTTTTTTCTTTTAAAGAGGAATGTCTGAAGAATGTCTGGTTGAGTTTACATGGAATGACTCAGCTTTTTTCTCCACCAAATATCTTCAGTGTTTTAAAGCTACTTTTGGATAGTAGCGTGTAGCAGTCAAGGGAGTAACTGGATGAGCTAGCTTAAAAGTAGCTACTACAAAACTGCTTGTTTTCCAAAACTCCAAATACTTTGCACACATACTCCCACCCAACAAAAATGTTTAATGATATATATATTTTTTCAAATCCATGCAGGCTTTTGTGTGGCAAAACAACGTCTTTGTGAAAGAAACGCCCACCTCTGCATTCAGGCAGGTCACTACTGATGGAGCCCACAACCTGATCCTCAATGGCATTCCTGACTGGGTGTACGAGGGTAAGAGATACATATTTAATGAAGCTGATGGATGTTAATCATTCATAACAGAGGTCTTTTACTTTTTGAAGACTTAATGGAATATTTCACCAAAAAAGCTAGTGTTCTTGTATACCTGTTTTCTCTGCAGAGGAGATGTTCTCCACCAACTTTGCTCTGTGGTGGTCACCAAATGGGAGGTTTGTGGCATACGCCAAATTTAATGACTCAGGAGTCCACAACATTGAGTATACATGGTACGGAGAAGGCCAATATCCAAATACGGTCTTAATACCATACCCCAAGGTAAAAGGATTTTTTTTTTTTTTAAAGCAAAGTGTGATGTTAGAGGAATAGTTTGCCAAAATTGAAAATTTGCTGAAAATTTACCCTCAGGTCATCCAAGATGTACAGTAGATGAATTTGTTTCTTCAGCGGAACAAGTTTGAAGAAATTTAGCATTACATCACTTGGTCGCCAATGGATCCGCTGTAATGAATGGGTGCCGTCAGAATGAGAGTCCAAACAGCTGATAAAAACATCACAACAATCCACAGCATGATTCCAGTCCAGTCCACCACGTCTTGTGAAGTGAAAAGTTGTGTGTTTGCAAGAAACAAATCCATCATTAAGGCATTTTAACGTTAATCAGTTGCTTCAGGCTAAAATATGAGTGCATAATCCATAATAACGCTTTCTGCAGTGAAAACGTCCATCTTCTGTTTGTCTTCTCACATCAGAATCTACCAAGATATTTGTTTAGAACTGTTTTGGACTGTAAACGGGGATTGATCTGTGCATATTTCTCACCTGATTCACAACTTTTTCACTGAAGAAAGCAGCCTTACCGATAGAGGATTCGTATTTTAGCTGGAAACAGTTTGAAGTTAAAAAACATCTTAATGATGGATTTGTTTATCACAAACACAACTATTTTCGCTTGACAAGAGGTTAATTGATGGACTATGGAGTCTTACTTGTAGATTATTGTGATGTTTTTATCAGCTGTTTGGACTCTCATTCTGACGGCACCCATTCACTGCAGATGATCCATCCATTAGTGATGTAATGCTAAATTTCTCCAAATATGTTCCCATGAAGAAACAAACTCATCTTGGATGGCCTGAGGGTGAGTAAATGTTCAGCAAATTTAAACTTTTGGGTGACTTATTTATTTATAACGCACATTTTTGATGCTCCCATTTGCTTGTTTCCAAGGCCGGAACCCCAAACCCAACTGTCAAACTCTTTGTCTTGGACACAAACACAACCATAACCAATGAAGTCCTGGTTCCCAGTGATGTTGGTGCAGGGTAAGGTAGAGTTTTGGTGTTTGCATGTGTTATTCAGCAAGTTCTTCAGTAATTTGACCTAAAACGATGGGTTTTATCACAGAGAGCACTACCTGAGCACTGTTACATGGGCGTCAGATGAGCGAATTGCAGTGCAGTGGCAGAAGAGAACGCAGAACTATGTCGTTTTGAAGACGTATGACTTCAGCGGCAATGCTTGGACAGAAAGTTCACTGGTACATCTAACTTCTTGGACTATTGTAGAGTCACTGAATCGAATGAAGCACAGTCCTCATCCAATCACAATTCTTTTTTCTCATATGCTTTTTTTTTTCAACAGAGCCAGGTTATCACAAGCAGCACGGGTTGGGTTGGCCGGGTATGAATTATTTGATGACAAAGTTATCAATTGATGTTTAATGCAATGTTGAGTCAAGCTAATATGTCTGTTTGTTGGTTTGTTTGCCCTGTTTTCATAGTTTTCTCCCGATGAACCTGTCTTTCGGCCGGACAGCAGCAGTTGTTATTACATTATGAGTGATGAGAAGCAATTTAAGCATCTTGTTTATTTCAGTCCAGTGAGTTTGCAAAGTATAAAAAACATAATTGAATACAATTTTGTACTATTTAAAATGTCTATTTAAACTTATATTTAAGGTTATGTTATTGCATTAATATGTATATGTATTGAATATTTACACTTACAATATTTTAAATTGTATTACAATTTTTAGATTTTAGCTTTTTTTTAGGATAAAATGGCAAATTGAGCCATTTTTAGTAACCCATTTTATTTTTGCATTCAGCTAATATAAACTTCAAATTGAAGTAGAAACACAGCGTTGCATGTGTTCTGCATATTTTTTCATATTGTTCGATATTGTTTCCTAGACAGTAAGGTCGTTCCTGACAACAGGAAATTGGGAGGTCACTAGCATCCTTAAGGTCACAAACGATGCTGTGTAAGTTCATTTGCTAGAAACCTCTGTTACCGAGTGTCCGATATTCTTTTCTCAACTTTTTTTCTCTGTTTGTGACAGATACTATGTGAGTAACGAACACAATGCGAGTCCGGGCCAAAGGAACGTTTACAAGTGAGTGTCGCAAGCTGAAATGATTCAGATATTTTCATAGTTGAAAAATGTAATAAATTGTGTATTTATTTTTCGGCAGAATGACTATAAATGTTGATTCTCATTCTGAGCGTGAGTGTCTGACCTGTACCCTCAATGTGGACCGGTGCAAATATAATTCTGCCCTGTTTAGCACTAAAGGAAGCTACTACCTCATGAGTTGTTCTGGTACGTCATGTATATTCATTTTATAGCACTTCTCTATATGCAAAGTACATAAAGCACACAAAAATTCAATGAAATGTACCCTACTCCTTTTATTTGTTTGTTTCTGAAGGGCCTGGACTGCCTCTGCATACACTGAGAAACAGCAGAGATGGAACAGGTATGGCTAAGCATTAAAGTCATTAAAACCGCTGCCATTAGCTGTTAGCCCACAGATTAGCAGTTAGCATAAATGGGTTCAAATCCCATTTACTGAACATTTTTCATTACATCCCCACCACTTCCCATGTCCTCTACAAGAATATAATAAAAAAAATTATTCATTCACTAATTTATTAATTTTTAATGTAAATTTTCATGTGTTATTTTGTAATATAAGTAAAATATATGGTGTCCCAGTAGTGCACAGCACAACGAAATCTCCACAACACAATGCATAGGACTAATTTTGTCGTGTTGTGCTAATTTCGTTGTTTTGGAGATTTTGTTGTGTTGTGCACTACTGGGCCACAATATAAGTAATAGAATTACAATATTAATTTTATATATATATAATTTATCAATTCCTACCACCTACAATACCTCAGAAACCACTTAGCAACATAATAGTCATACTAGCCCTAGTGACCATCTAGAACCCCCTGGAAACCACTTAGAAACAGCCTAGAAACCATTCAGAATACTGTGGAAACCATCTAGCAACACCCCTAATGATCACCCATATCACCCTATTGACATCCTAGCACCCACCCAGAACACCTTGGAAACCACTTAGCAATACTCTAGCAACCACCTAGAACACTTCAGAAACCACTTAGCAATGACCCAGAACACCCTGGAAACCACCTAGTGACACCCTAGCAACTTGCTAGTGCCCTAGCATCCCAACTCCCAACACCTTGGAAACCATCTAGTGACATCCTGTCAACCTAGCAACCACCCAGAACACCCTGGAAACCATATATATATATAAATAAATTAATTATAATAATATATTAATTATAATATTAATATTATAATATTAGTAAAAATATACAATATATACAAACCCGATTCCAAAAAAGTTGGGACACTGTACAAATTGTGAATAAAAACAGAATGCAATGAATGCAATGTTTCAAATTTCAATATTTTATTCAGAATACAACATAGATGACATATCAAATGTTTAAACTGAGAAAATGTATCATTTTAAGGGAAAAATAAGTTGATTTTAAATTTCATGGCATCAACACATCTCAAAAAAGTTGGGACAAGGCCATGTTTACCACTGTGTGGCATCCCCTCTTCTTTTTATAACAGTCTGCAAACGTCTGGGGACTGATATTCCTGGTACTAACTTACTGAATTTCTCAAAACATTTTTTAGAGGTGAGAGTTCTTGAAGACAACAAAGATTTGGAAAATACTCTGCAGGATATCGCAATGCCGTCTGTTACGCATGGCACACTGAAGATCGGAGAGTTTGGTAAGGCTGACGCTGCAGGAGAGCGGAGAATCAGATCGAATAACTTAGAAATATGTTTGTTTTAAATCCTAATCTTGTGTGGGTTTTTTTTCCCTCAGACCTCTGGTACCAGATGATTCTGCCTCCCAAATTCGACAAATCCAAAAAATATCCTCTGCTTATTGATGTGTAAGCTAGCTACACATTTTGTGGTTTGATTTTGAGCTCTAATCTGGGTTTGATGGCCACTACAGTCTTGATTCTTTCATATCCTGTAGATATGCAGGCCCCTGCAGTCAGAAGTCAGATTTCCGGTTCAGGGTGGGATGGTCCACATACTTGGCCAGCACGGAGAAAGTGATTGTGGCCAGCTTTGATGGGAGAGGAAGTGGTTACCAAGGAGACAAAATCATGCATGCCCTCTACAAACGACTCGGCACTTACGAAGTTGAGGATCAGATAACAGCTGCTAGGTACAAATGTGTATCCACACAGCTCTGAAGTGAATATGTATTGATGTTTTTGTGCAGCAGAAATGAATAATTCCTCAAACCATGTGTTTTGTTGAGGAGAGGTGAGCTGTTACTTTACTTGGCGATCAGACTAACAATTTTTCAAATGTTGGATGTTAAAATGGTGAAAAAATCTCATAGATTTACAATAAAGGATTCATATCTAAACTCCGTTGACTTGATCCAGTATAGACAACCTCCCAGAATACAATGAAAACTACTTAGCAACACCCTAGCAACCACCCAAAACACCCTGGCAACTCACATAGCAATGCCTTAGCAACCACTCAAATCATCCTGGAAACAACCTGGCAACCACCTAGAAACCACTTCTCAACATACTAGTAACCACCCAGAACAGCCTGGATTCCACCTAACAACGCCCTTTTTGACCACCCAAATCACCCTAGCAATGACCTAGCAACCACCCAGAACACTCTGAAAGCTACAAACTGTAGCAACGCTCTAGTGACCACCCAAATTTCCCTAGCAATGACCTAGCAACCAGCCAGAATGCTCTGGAAGCTACAATCTGTAGCAACGCTCTAGTGACCACCCACATCAACCTAGCAATGACCTAGCAACCAGTCAGAACGCTCTGGAAGCTACAATCTGTAGCAACGCTCTAGTGACCACCCAAATCACCCTAGCAATGACCTAGCAACCAGCCAGAACGCTCTGGAAGCTACAATCTGTAGCAACACTCTAGTGACCACCCAAATCACCCTAGCAAAGACCTAGCAACCACCCAGAACACTCAAGAAGTTACAATCTGTAGCAACACTCTAGTGACCACCCAAATCACCCTAGCAAAGACCTAGCAACCACCCAGAACACTCAAGAAGTTACAATCTGTAGCAACACTCTAGTGACCACCCAAATCACCCTAGCAAAGACCTAGCAACCACCCAGAACACTCAAGAAGTTACAATCTGTAGCAACACTCTAGTGACCACCCAAATCACCCTAGCAATGACCTAGCAACCTCCCAGAACACCCTGGAAGCTATAATCTGTAGCAACGCTCTAGTGACCACCTAAATCACCCTAGCAACGACATAGCAACCACCCAGAACACCCTGGAAACCATTTATCAATGCCCTAGCAACCACCTACAATACCTCAGAAACCACTTAGCAACATAATAGTCATACTAGCCCTAGTGACCATCTAGAACCCCTGGAAACCACTTAGAAACATCCTAGAAACCATTCAGAATACTGTGGAAACCATCTAGCAACACCCCTAATGATCAGCCATATCACCCTATTGACATCCTAGCACCCACCCAGAACACCTTGGAAACCACTTAGCAATACTCTAGCAGCCACCTAGAACACTTCAGGAACCACTTAGCAATGACCCAGAACACCCTGGAAACCACCTAGCCCGACACCCTAGCAACTTGCCAATGCCCCAGCATCCCAACTCCCAACACCCTGGAAACCATCTAGTGACATCCTGTCAACCTAGCAATGCCTAGCAACCACACATAACACCCCGGAAACCATCTAGTGACATCCTGTCAACCTAGCAATGCCTAGCAACCACACATAACACCCCGGAAACCATCTAGTGACATCCTGTCAACCTAGCAATGCCTAGCAACCACACATAACACCCCGGAAACCATCTAGTGACATCCTGTCAACCTAGCAATGCCTAGCAACCACACATAACACCCCGGAAACCATCTAGTGACATCCTGTCAACCTAGCAATGCCTAGCAACCACACATAACACCCCGGAAACCATCTAGTGACATCCTGTCAACCTAGCAATGCCTAGCAACCACACATAACACCCCGGAAACCATCTAGTGACATCCTGTCAACCTAGCAATGCCTAGCAACCACCCAGAACACCCTGGAAACCATCTAGCAACTTAGCAATGCCCTAGCAACCACCTTGAAGACCCTAGAAACAACCTACACTAAAAAAATTGTAGTGAAGTGCAGTATTCTAGCAATAATTCACTCATAATTGAACTATAACAATTGGTTTCATCATGTTACATAGCATACAGTTGACATTTGCATGTAATTTATTAGAAATGACAATTATATATTTTTTCTTCATTTTTAGACATTTTATTGACATGGGCTTCATAGATAAAAACAGGGTTGCCATCTGGGGCTGGGTAAGTTTAATTACCAGAAACCGTTGTTCTGATATCATGAATCTGACAAACTTCTTTTTGACAGTTGTCTTGATTGCAAAGTGGTTGTTTTATCCGTCTTTAAAATAATGACACTGACTTTTATATTTTGTTATTTGATGCAAAGATATTAATGCATTTTAAGTCCAAATACAATTTTTTGGGTCACTGTATAAGTAACTGTGTGTTTGCGATGCAGTCTTACGGCGGTTACGTCACTTCCATGGTTCTGGGAGCCGGAAGTGGAGTTTTTAAATACGGAATGGCCGTCGCTCCGGTCTCTAAATGGGAGTATTATGGTATGTATTATGTATAATTGTAATCCATTACTGATTTCAAATTACATTATGAAAACTGTAGTTAGTAACATAATCTGGATTACAGATATTAGGTAATGTAGTCTGTAGTACGTTTTCATTACTTTTAGATTACTTTTGATTTAGCTCATTTGTCACGTAGACACGAATGTAATTGTGTACCATACTGATTAAAACAAACAAAGAAAATGTATTTCATTCTGTTATCAATATTATGAAATCAATAAATTCGGAAAAATGTAATGCCATTGAGTGAATATATAATCATGTATTCCATAAAAACGTAACTGTAATCTAGCATTTTCAAATGAAAGATAATCTAATTACAAGTACTTCGTTTTTGGAATCTGATTATGTGAACCAGATTACATGTAATCAGTTACTACGTAGTACTGATTATGGTTTTATATTTCATTTTCCCCTCATTGAAGTTCATTCCTGTCATGTGATAAGACTGTTCTGTAATTTCCTCCAGACTCTATTTACACTGAGAGGTACATGCTGACGCCAGCGGAGAACCAGGCCTTTTACGATGTAAGTTGCGCTTGGAAATTCTAAACTTTTTTTTCAATAAACTCATTGGTTTCCCCATGATGACGTCACAGAGAAGCATGAGTCAGTCCTGAAATAACTCACGAGAGGAAAGCGCAAGCGCTGCGTCACTCAGGGTTTATGGGATGTTATGATTCTTGCAGAATTCCACAGTGACGGGAAGAGCCAAGAACTTTAAATCGGTCCAGTACCTCCTGGTGCACGGCACCGCTGACGGTGAGATACGACCCGTCTCTCTCTCTCTCTGTCCCTCGTCCTGTCTCTGCATAACGTGAAGAAATGAAAATAAATTAATATGAAAATAAAAAATAAAAATGAGCTGCATTCTTGTTTAATGTTTTTCTTTTGTCATTTTTGTTTAAAAATGTATTTTCTGAAATTTATATTCATTTATCACTGAAATTTTTATATGCAGCCCTTATATATTATTTACATGTTCAATTACTGTAAATATCATAACAAATATATTTTAAGTCATTTTAGTTATTATACTTATTCAGAATATTTCCTAAAAACTACAGAAATATATTTCCTTGGTATTTTGAGTTTTAGATCAGTAAAAAAAAAAAAGTATTTATTTCAAATTCCTAAACATGTAAATATCTTTAAAATAACTCAAATTACTTGACTTAAAATGAAAACTCATTACATCTTTTTTTTTCTGCTTTTCGTTGGTGTTTTTAGATAATGTTCACTTCCAACAAGCTGCTCAGATCTCTAAAGCGCTCGTGGATGAACAAGTGGACTTTGATACAATGGTAAGAAAGGAGCAGAATTGCATTTTATTCATGCAAATTTATTCGAATAAATTATAATATAATGAATATAGTAAAAATATAATAATATTCTTTTATATTAATTGAAATATATAGAATTATGCTTAAATTAAATTATTTATACATCTGTATAATAAATATAAATATTATATATATACTGTATATAGTACTAAAATATTACATATAAAAAGGTTTCTTCATTTATTTTTACATTTATTTGTAAATTTATATATATAAATAAGCTCAATAGCATTGCAAAGCAATTAAAAAATGTAATAAAATAATTAGCATAATTAGAGTTTTTTTTTTGCATGTCACATTGGTAGACGTGAATTCTTCATGTCAACAATCCATAAAGCAGCTCCAAAAAGTATTAAAATAGATATATGGTGAATATTTGAAGTGTTTTTCACTCATGACCTGTTCTGTCTCTCTGTCAGTGGTACACTGATGAAGACCACGGTCTCGGTGGCTCGGCCAATCGGCACGTCTACACTCACATGAGTCACTTTCTGAAAAACTGCTTTGCTTGAACTTGTGAAACTTTCCATTGGACCAAAAAATCCCACCCAGAAGCCCCAGCACTGAATCCACATTACTTCCAGACCACTTCACGCACTTAAAACACGTCAGGAGTGTGCGACTCCCCATCAGCAGCCACTGAATCCACAAGAACCCTGTAGCTACTGTACTGTGATGCAATAACGGACTCCTTTAGTCACGTTTATCAGTTTCAAATGTATAGTCTGAACAACTGAGTCATGAGTCTTTAGTACACCGAAAAAAAACATAGAAATACTTACTGGATGAACACAAAGCTTGATGAGCTAGCTAAAGAAAACTGAGAGTAAAAATAAAATAAAAAAGGTATTTGAATTAAATACTCTCAGATTTAATTATTATTATTTATTATTATTATTAATTACCTTTTAAGCTGGTGAGAGCAATATTGTGTATTTTCCATATCAAGTTCATTGCCAGCTGTACATTTTCATGTATAGTACAAAAATAATGTTAATGTTTAATATTGTTTAATATCATTTTATATTTTAATTATCAAATATATTAAATATAAAATAATGCATTACAATATTTTCACACTTTAAATAATCAAGCTTTGAGTATCAAGTCATCTTTTAAGAAAATATTTATTGTATGTGCCATTACTTTTAAAATATACGCCATAATTTGTATGATATAGCAGAGATATTTTCAATCTGTAATAAAATTCAAGAAAAATGTGTTTAATTGTTTGTGACTTATTTACGCTTTACACATATTAAATAACATTGTTTTCAAGTTCAAGTTCAAGAAATATGAAATAATTTCAAAATTCATTCATTCTTACAAGCCAAGCCTCTTGTCTGTTAAAATATTTGAAATCATTAAAAATGTATATATTTGCAGTTAAAGTAGAGATTTTACTGTTGTCCTGATTTGATTAAAAAACAACTTTATTAATAGCATTTTTAAAACATTTAAATTTGAAGTTTCAGTTTAAGTTGATTATTGATGCACAACAAATTGTACGGTTTTCAACTAAATTAATTTGTTGTTTATTAAACCAACAAATATATGAACATTTGATATGCTAGTAATCAAATTCTAGCACCTCAAAATGCATTCTGGGATTTTTTTTTATATATGAAGAAACTTTGTCCACCACTTTTGTTTACACAAAGTTGTCATTGACATATTCATATTGCATTGCAATGATTTTTGTTAATCAAATCACACTGATTTTGACTGCAAAGCATCCTGGGTTGGACACAAGAATCATGTGTAGTAAAACTAAAAAACACATGAAAAGTCCGTTTGTCACGTTCTCATGGGCAGACTATCCGTCTCCCCTCTTGATTTTCGCCTACAGTAGCACTTTGAGGGTTATTTTTCTCTGGGTTTATTTGCGAAAGCCTCCACCCTGCTGTCTCGCACCTCCAGGATGGCTCTTATCTGGAGGTACTTTGGCACATCTCGCTCTTTAAGCAAACACGAGCGGTTTCATCCAGAGCGGGTAATGGACTGACACTAATGGATCTGAACGCACATGTACGCGTGTGTGTGGGCTGCCGAGACGGGACGGCCCACCTGGACCGACTACATAAGACCCAGACCATTGAGAAGAGGCCACGAAAGCAGCAGGAGAAGATCCAAACACACTCAACTCTTCCATCCATTGGTAAGTTGAAGGACCTCTGTGAGAGACCCAAAGCCTCGTAGATGTTCGGTTGGTTTCAAACGTGTGTTTTTTCTTCTCATTGTTACAGAACGTGTGTGTTCAGAACTGAAAGAAGCTCTCAAAATGAAAGGCGTTCAATATCTCGCTGGTCTTCTTCTGCTCCTCTTTGTTCAAAAGAGCATCTGCGTCCCACTGCAAGACGACAACACAAGGTTGGAGAAATGGCCTTTTATGGTGTTTCATGTCCTTTACAGTTTGTTTCTGAGCAATAATAAACTAATTTGAAGATAATTTTCTAGTACTTTTTTAGCTTTTTGAGGACTTTATTTGGAAATGTGGGCATCGTTTTGTTCAGTTTACGTAATGTAACACTCATATATCGTCTGGTCGTGCAGCACAGAGACAGTAGAAGGTCTTCTGGCGAGAGGTCAGGGATTCACGACCGCGAAGAGACATTCTGAGGGAACTTTCTCCAACGACTACAGCAAATACTTGGAGACCAGGAGAGCGCAAGACTTTGTTCAGTGGCTCATGAACTCGAAGAGAAACGGGTATGTACAATTACAGTGTGAGGTCATGTACAGAATTTTTTAAAAATGTAAAAATTATCCAACATTTGGTGTACAAGGAAAAAAATAGATTTACAAATCGAATAAAAAAAAAATCAGCAGTTTTTTTAGAATGTATGAACTAAAATAAGAATAAAACAAACAAAATATATAACATGTACTGTATATACTTTCTAAAATAATAATAATAAAAAAAAATATATATATATATATATATATTGCATTAAGAATCTTAAAATATGTTACATAACATGTTATCAAATTTCTCTAATTAATTTATATAATATATTGAC